AATTCAGATGCTTGGCAATTGATTCGTATTTGTGACAGTTGCAGTGTCCCAGGGTCATGTGATCACCTTTTGCGACCTTCTGACAAGCAAAATCAATGAGAAAGCCCAGATTCACTTAAGAACCATGTTACTAATTTAGCAATTGCAGTGATTCACTTAACAACGGTGGCAAGAAAGGATGTAAAATGGGGCAAAACCTACAAAACCAACTGTCTTGCTTAGTGACATAAATGTTGGGCTCAGTTGTGGTCATAACTTGAGGATTATCTTTATCTTAACAGTTACTTGGCTGGGTAGGTTAATATACAGGCAAATTGCTTAATATTTGCAGACTCAAGCAAATACAGCGTTCAGAACTCTGTTATGTGGTATATTAGTCAAAGTTGGGCCACAACTGGTTCAAACAGATTCTTTTTTAAAGAAAGTCATACACCTATTATTGCAGTTACTACTCTTATCTTGTTTTTATCAATGTCTGATATACTATATCGCCAGGGATGGGCTTCAAAAATTGCAGCATTGGATTCGCTGCCCCGTTGCTCGGTGAGCGTGGCCATGGTGGGCGTGGCCTAGACAGCCTCCTGCACCATGGCAGGGAGGGGGCGTTTTTCACCCTTCCCAGTCTCCGGAGGCTTTCCTTGAGCCTCCAGGAGGACAAAAAGTGCTTCCCCCAAGCTCCAAAGGCCCTCCAGAGGCTGGAAACAGACCGGTTTTCAGGCTTCCAGAACTTCTAGTAGGTCCGTTCCCCCCCCCCCCCAAGCGTCCATGTGGGCTCTGCACTTACCTAGCATGATGAATGGGCTGCATGGAGATTCCTGGGGTGGGAGGGTCAGGGTGGGAGTGGCCAGCCAGGGGTGGCATTTGGGGGTTCGCCAAACTGGGCAGAATCCTAACTAGAGGATCGCCTGAACCCATGCGAACCCCCAGCAGCCCATCCCTGTATATCACTAGGTATAGAGACCCTATGGAATGACCTTAAAGGACAGGAAGATGAACCATTACTAAGGCAACAATCATATTAGGAGGGGCTTTAACCTGGGCCAAAAATTAGTTTCAATAAACATCTCAAACGGACCCTTTCCTAGTGCACAGAAATATAGAACGGGAGAGAGGAATGCATCTTTAGACTTCCAACATTCTGTTCCTATAGCTGCTGCAATAAAAGTAATCCTAACCTCTACATTCTATGATTGTAATGAAAATACTTCCCTTGAAAAGAAACTTTAAAAAAATACAATTAATGATCTATCGATATTATCAACTTAATTGTAAGAGTAGGTTTTGTAAGATGAGCTATTAAGGCTGAAAGGCACTGAGACAACACCCAAGGTCTTCTCTTGAATTCTAATTTACGTGAATAAAATGCTGAAATAATACTCAGGTTTCAAAAGATAGTATACATTATCTAACTCACCCCAAATAAACTTGTTAAGAGTTCACACAAATGTTGTAAGAGGTCGTGTAAGCAACAAACATCTTGTGAAATATGAAGTCAATGTCATTGAACTTCAGTTGCCCCAATCTACTATTCCTGCCAAATAAGAGTTCTAGGAGGCCACTATCAAGGCTTGAAGGACTTGTAATTCTGCATTCCTTAATGTGCATGTATTTGCTTAAAATGAGTAGTGCTATGTGTAACCCCTTATTTACTGTTCTAGACAATTCAATACCAAAAATATTATGGTAAAATTAATAAAATTAATAAAGAGAAACTTGATCCAAATACCTTATGAAAAACTTTACCATTATCCAAACTGATTTTCAAGAATTCTTCGTTATACGTCAAAAGTATGAACATTGGTTTCTTCACTAGTTCAGAGCTATTGGCAGCCTGCTTTTGTGGCTTAATTCCCAAAGAGCCTCAGCACTCAAATTATTTATTATTTAAATATTCACTCGGATGTATATGCTGTTCCAGTCACATGCATATATACAGCAGTGGTGGGTTTCAAAAAATTTTTAGAACCTATTCTGTAGGTGTGGCCTGTTTTGGGGCAGTAGCTTGGCTGTCATGTGACTGGGTGGGCGTGGCCAACTTGTAAAATGTGGTGAAA